AGTTAATATACACTTGAAATGTAATAAGCAAGAAAACTGGTTATTAATATGACAATGCAAAAAGGTAGACCGATCGTCTCGGGTAGACAGATGACACTGACGATGACCGCTGACAACCCAAAGTACTGAGAGTACCTCAGGTCATAATGTCCCTTTCCAACATTACTCTATAGTGCAACTATAGTGTAACATTACTCCTACATAGTATCGTTGCTATATTTTCAACACGCCTCCTCAACGATACCTGTTCATCAAATGCTAATTTGACAAACCGAACTTCATGACCATTGCCTTAAGTTTGATGTCCCTGACTGGCTTAGTCATAATATCTGCCAACATATCCTCTGTCGGGCAGTACTCGAAGATGAAGATTCCTTTCTCGTACATTTCATTAGCATAATGATATTTGGTATCAATATGCTTAGTCCTATTACTGAATTTCCTATTTTGGACCATCTTTATGCAACTTTGGTTATCTTCGTACATCTTGACTGGTAGTTGACTCTGGTGCTGTAGATCTTTTAACAGACGAATCAACCAAACTCCTTCTTGACATGCCTCTGCTAGCGCCACGTACTCAGCTTCCGTTGATGAGAGTGAGACACAGGCTTGTTTTCTGCATGCCCAACTAATAGGTCCTCCAAACAATTTGAATAAATAACCGCTGTTGGATTTTCTATCAGTTCTGTTCTCGGCCCAATTTGCATCCGCATAGCCGATTAATTGGTTCATTTCTGAATTGGTATTCAGCTTTAACTTTACACTCTTCGTTCCTTTTAAATAGCGTAGGACTCTCTTTACCTCAGTCCAATCCGTCGTTGATGGTTTTACATTATACTGGCTTAGAATATTTACACTAGCTGCAATATCTGGTCGAGTGTTTATTGCAACGTACAGCAAAGCCCCTATAAGCTGCTGATACCTGCCACTGTCCGGCATTGGGTCCTCCTTTCTTGCTTTCAGGTAGCCCGGATCCAATAATGATTTTATTTCCTCATCCATGGCCTCCATCCATTTTTCTTTGTTTGGTCCCGATAACGCTTGTCCGCGAGTTCTTGGTTCTTCAATTGACAGTTTCGCACTGGCCACAAATAGCGGGGGTGGAACCCCTTTATTTGTCCTCTCGGAACGTCTCGGTTGTGGAGCTTCTTGTCGGTCTCCTTCACCATCACCATCCCCTTGACGTTGATTTTCCTGGATGTCTTGATCTTCTTGAATGGGTTGGTTTTCCTGAATGCCTTGAACTTCTTGGATGAGTTGATTTTCCTGAATATCATTCTTCTTTCCTCGGAGAGTTACAAGAACTTCACTCGTGTCGTCCTTACCAATGTCTTTACTAATCCGTTCGTTGATACTCGTAGATATAGGAATTACTCCTTCACTCTTCGGGTTACTCGCTTTCTCGTCCAGGAAAACGACGTCACGACTGATTATTATTTTATTGGTACTTTTATCTAACAGACGATATGCTTTAGATTCTTCCGAATATCCAGTGAAAATTAGTTTCTTGGCTTTTTCATCTAATTTTCTTCTTTTTTCTTTGGGAATATGTACATACGCTTCGCACCCAAACTGTTTTATTCTAGTGAGATCTGGGATTTGTGAGAACCATAATTCATATGGTGTCTTTGCTGTTGTCCTGGTCGGTAGTCTATTTTGAAGGTAATTAGCTGTTGCTACTGCTTCACCCCAATACTTGTTATCTAGACCCGCATCTATCAGCATACATCTTGACATTTCTAGTAAAGAGCGGTTTTTTCTTTCTGCAACTCCATTTTGTTCAGGTGAATAAGGTGCAGTTAGTTGAGTTTCGATTCCTTCCGCTCTTAAATAGTCTTGAAGATTTTTATTTACGTATTCCTTACCCCGATCCGAACGAATTATCCTCGGTTTTCTACACTGCTGTGTTTTTGTAAGTTCAACGTAGTTTTTAATGCATGCTGCCGCTAAATCTTTTGTTTCCATCAAATAAATTTTAGTATACCTACTAAAATCGTCAATGAGGGTCAGTATGTATCTTTTATTACCTGGGGTCTTTGTCTGCATTGGCCCACAGACATCTGTATGGATAAGATCGAGAGGCTTCTCGGTCTTATTTGTAGACTCCTTTGGGAAACTTTTTCTTGCCATTTTCCCTTTTATACAACACTCACAAATTTTATCTTCTTTGCAGTCCTTAATTATTATTCCTTTAGCTAGACCTTTTTCGGTTAAGCTCTTTATTGCATCCAAACTTCTATGCCCTAAACGTCTGTGCCACACGTGTATACAATCTTTACTGCAATTTAGATTTTTTGTAATCAGGGCCTTTTCAGCTGTGTTCAGCTCATATAAGTCGCCGTAGGGTTTTACAACTGCTTTCAACTCTGGACCCTTAAAAATATTGCATTGTTCCCCTTCAAGAATAATCTTGTACCCATCTCTAGCTAGTTTCTTTATTGATACTAGGTTTGAGCTTAACCTGGGAACATACAACACATTGTCGATAACAATTTTCTTTACTTCGCCGCTGTTGAGTTGACAATTTATGACACACTTTCCAATCCCTTCGACCTTAACATTTACATTTTCATCTGCAAGACTAACAAACCCGCCTTTTTCAAGCTTTAGTGTAACAAACAAATCCCTTTTACACGCCATGTGGCTAGTTGCTCCTGAGTCTAAATACCATGTATTACTCTTCTGTGAATTCTTTACGTTAAAACATGCATTTATGACCTTCGGGGACGACTCTGGGTGGGCTATTACCATGTTACATTCTGTTACTTTATTGGCACTCGAAATACCTTGTTTCTTTTTCCAAGCTTTCCATTTGAAACAATTTTTCTTGAGATGCCCTGGAATCTTGCAATGAAAACATGTTTTATCACTGTGGAGCTTCGTACTCTGGATCTTCATTGCTGTTTCCGAGGCTTCTGTAACTTTAAGTTCTGCATCTTTAATCTCTGCAGTGTTTTTACGCCTCCTGTATTCCTCAAGAATCAATTCTTTTGCAAACTTTGATGTGAGTTCAGTGGCTGACCCGCTGATACCCATTATCAGCGGCTTATAGGAATCTGGTAAACTTCCAAGTAAAATTGCCGCAAGTATATCATCCTTTAGTCCCGAACCACATCCTGATAACTTGTTAGCAATCGCTGACAAATCAGTTATGTGTTTTTCAGCATCCCCTCCTTCCGACAAAGTCGATCGGAATAATTTATAAAACAGATAAATTGTGCCTGATGCTGTTGACTTACGATGATGATTTTCAAGCGCTATCCACGCTTCCTTGGCTGACTTGGCACCCCTGGTGAACTCCATCTGATCATCTTCGAGTAGAAGTCCGATCGTTGCTCGAGCGTCATTATCGGCTGTCGTCCATGCCTGTGTAACCGTTGCAGGCTTTTCTTCCTCGATCACATTCCACACCTTTTCTTTAAGGAGGAGTAATTCTAACTTACTTCTCCACACTTCATAATTGTCATTGTTCAGTTTCTTAATACCCCAATGCTCAGGCATTTTCACGATTTAAACTTTGAAACAGAGAGATAAATGTACTTCACGCTTATCACTCCCGCACTGAATAACTCCCGCACTAAATATTGTCTTTCGAAAAAACTTTAAAAACCTTTACTCGACAAATATTATATTTTCTAACAGCCTGGGCCCATAACCTATTGGAATTGGAGGCTGGAAGCTTAGACAATATAATATTAAGGTTTTAGAAAGAATAATATTTGATACAGTTTATTATGTTTATTGATGAGTTAATATACACTTGAAATGTAATAAGCAAGAAAACTGGTTATTAATATGACAATGCAAAAAGGTAGACCGATCGTCTCGGGTAGACAGATGACACTGACGATGACCGCTGACAACCCAAAGTACTGAGAGTACCTCAGGTCATAATGTCCCTTTCCAACATTACTCTATAGTGCAACTATAGTGTAACATTACTCCTACATAGTATCGTTGCTATATTTTCAACAGGATAAATATACGTTAAAGTTTTTGAAGCAATCATATTAAGTTATGGAAATAAATTACGTTAAACGTTAATACGTTAATCAAAATAATACCAGGTATAAATAGGTTTACTTTACGTTACCGGAATTTTATTTTAAATGGCATATATAGTCAAAGTTTAGAAACTCAGATCATACAGTATTTAAACCTTTTAAAATACTTACTAGACGAGAATCCGTCTAGTGGAAACTCATGCCCAAATACACATTCATGTCTGTTAACGTTTTTCAAAAATTCGAAACGTTGTAATTAATTGTTAATTAATCAGTAAACACGTGTGTTATCCATAAATGAAGATGCTGAAATGAATTGTAATGCACCGAACTGCAATCCCAACAAATATTACAAGTAGAGTCCGACCCAAACTACCTTTTCAGCCGAAACCAAAATTTTGGCCCTGGCCTCAGTTTCGGCCGAAACCGAAACCGAAATTGGACCTTACATAAAAATATGTTTAATTTAAGTTTCAAAACTTAACTATTTAAGGAATGGTGCAATAAAATTATTTACAGCAGTATTAAGCGATAAAGTGAAGTAATTGAAGATTGGAAATTTTTGGTTTTGAAAATTTTAAAACATATGTTTGGTCAAGGATTTCCTCAAACCTCTATCTTGTTTCATTTCAAAATAAAACTATAATAAAATTCACGAATACTGAGGTTTGGTGCGGCCGGAACCGAAACTGAAGCCGAAACTAGATTTCTTGACCGAAACCGTAACCGAAATTTCGGTCGGTCTCTAAAATTATTATCGCCAAGTTTTAAACTAGAATCAAATGTGTCACTTGTTTCAATGAATTAATAACGTTTTATAACGCAAGGAGACATACAATAAACAGTTAATGATAATGCAACCCTTGAAACTTCCATTTCAGATATAACTGATATTAGGACTTTAATGGGACTGATAAATAACTAATACTTCTATTGTTTTACTTTAAATATCAGTTTAACTCATGGACGACATCTAGAACATTAAATTCTGCGAATTGATACAGGCGAAAATGAATATTCCACACACCCCAGTGCTGGATCCTCTTGAAACTAGAAGTCTTAATTTACCTGACGATGTTTCAAGACGATGTTTTACCTTGCCGAAAATGTATTTGTTGTGCATAAGCATGTTTCCATCCAAGTTGGCATCACGTGGCAGAAAATTTATATTTTATATTTATTTGGGGTTGATGGTACTGCTGGAATTCACGCAAGTGATGCACCTGGTCATGTACCCAATGGACGTTACGAAATTCACGTTGATTTTGTCAACTGTTTCTACTACTCTGCAGGTATTTTAATAATCTTTGTTTCAACGGACGTATAATATGACTTAATTATATTCTTGTTAGGGCATTGCTAAAATGACTTTGTTGTTCATTAATTCGCGACGCCTCCGAGTCATTCTCGATCAATGTTTCTTTACCTTCTGGCCCTCAAGTCTAATGGGAAACTCGCTGGAAGCGTCGCTCAAATTTTCATCGAATTTTGTTCAATTTAACATGATGTGTGTAACTGGGAGCGCCGCGGTTTTTGCATTAGGGTTTCTATTCAAACCGCTGTTTGATGGCGCAAGGGAGTTGCCCTTTGCCACGTGGTTGCCCTTTGACTGGCGTGCTCCAGGCATTTACGAATGTGTCTATACGACGCAAGTATTCACAAACCTCTTTCTGATAATACTTAGTATTCTTGGGCATGACTTCATTTTTCTGGCATTAGCCAGCAATGTAGTCGCACAGTTTCACATTTTAAGTCGAATGGTCGATGAATTGGGAAGCGGAAGAGACCGGGAGCTTAACACTATGCTACTTTCCCTAGAAGGAGTCGTAGAAGGTAAAAAATATAGCGAGGAGCAGCAACTTCTTGTGAAGATCATCGCTCACCATCAAAAATTATTATTTATTTGTGAGGAGATGGAGAATATTTTTTCACCAACGTTGTTTGTTCAGCTCGCGACGAGTTTGGTGGCGATATGTGTATCCAGTTTTCTATTAACAGCAGTAAGTCTCTTTCCGATCCTCTAGGATAACTATTTTTTGCATCCAGTTATCCATAATTAAATATATTTTATAGGTGGACGAAGTTGAAGTTGATCAACTATACCAACTGGCTTCTTACTGTTTGGGACATGTTCTGCAATTATTCATCATTTGCGCGGCAGGTAGCGAAATGTCTCACCTAAGTTTTAGTTTCTCTCACAATGTGTATACTTGTTACTGGTACCGCCACAAGTACACCGAGATTCGCAAAGCCTTGGTACTAGTTATCCTACGAGCCCAAAGAGCTGTTCGCGTAACTGCACTTGGCGTGTTCGAAATGAACTATGAAACCTTTGTTGCTGTCATGCGTTTGTCCTTTTCATTCTATACCCTTTTGACAGGAATTATTGAAAATATGGAGTAGATATGCTTAATTTTTTGTTTAACAATTAAAACACTAGATTTGTATGTCACGGCAATGACATTTTGAATATATTAAACTTCACAGTATTTGTGTGTGTTTTTATATTTAGCTACCCAAAAATGCAGTCTTTGGCAGTTCCTTATATAAACAGAATAAAGGCACGAGTTGCCGAAACATGCAACGTTCGTTTCCGGCTGCGAAACCTCTGTAACCATTTCATAGCTTCAGCTACTTCTACTAAATGCTAAACTCCGCATGTTGTAGCTTCCGATAATCTACTGATTGAGGAGTTAACCACCAGCTCCATGTGGAAATGTTGTCACAGAAATCAGACCTTCACTGTTGAAGCCTTGAGTCAATGTCTTTCAGATATGTTACGGGCATGTTTGGCGCACCACATGGATTCACACGAGATACATCGCAATCGACTGAAAGGTATACACAGGTAACATTAGTGTTTATGTTCCAAACCTAGGGGTAAATAGTTCTTCAGGATTAATTTGACGATTTGACTACGGAAGTAACAAACCTAAATCTTATATTATTCATAAATAGGAATTTTTAATCAGGTCACAACCGAATGAAATAGAAGTCATTGATTGAATAATAATTTATTACCATTTTATTTTCTAGGTGTAAACCTGATCAAGAAAATTGCAATGCGTACGAATTACAGCGACTTGGCTGTAGCGCAAATTGTTGCCCTCTTATGGTCCTGCTTGAGTGTCGTACATCATTTTCATCTTAGAGCCATAACTTCACAAAGCTGCAAAACGTTATACCGCGCGTAATGCTAAGTGTTTTTGGTCCGATAATTTCATTTCTAATTTTTATGTTTTTTGTTTTAGGCGAGAATATCGTAATGCGGTTATGGTATATGAAAGAATTTTGGTCATGTTACTTCCACAGCTCTTTAGCACTGTGGTCAAGACGCTCATCACGTTTTTCAATGAGACTGGCATGTGGGAGATGGAGACCTATGTCACAAGTTGTATCAAAAAGATATTACTAATCTGTAAGGATAGCCACGGCGTAATCAACTACTTGCTGGATATTGTAGAGATTAGTGAAAATTGCCCGACCGCCAGTGACATACTAAAAATTATACAGAATTTATTCACTTATGGGGACTGGGCACACATGGACCACTATTTACTGTATAGATTTTTAGAGTTGTACAGACGCAGTACCATGAACGAAGAGTTTGAAAGTTTGCGATGGTGTTTAGAATCTTGTATCCGGCAAGGATTCACTTGCATGAAGAGGAATGAACTTGTTACAGTCGTAAGTGTTTGACAATTCAAAATCATATCAAAGTGCAATTGAATAATATTCGGTATTTTATGTTGGTTGTGAGAGATTTCCGTGATGATGAATTGGGTAGTTGCCGTCAACCCGGCCATGACATTGAAGTTTGCAAAGGTGATGGAATATGCAGCGGGGACACAAAACAGCGAACCGTATTCGTTGAGTCTAGAGATGTCCTTCATGTATTCTTTGCTGGAACTGATTTCTTCGCCAAACAGATATTTGAGTTTACTAGGTTGTCGATTGGTGTTTTTAACACTGGACCGTTTAAAAAACGGCTCGGATTTATTACGAGCCAAGATTTTCTTCCCCACCGGCGAATTTCCCGTCAAAATTGGTCAATATGATGAACGGGACAATCGTTTCATACAAGAAATAAACGACGTGTTGCAGACCAGTCTTCTGACAGCATTGCTGAACCATGGTTTTCATCTGAAAAGTGTTGAGATGATATTTGGTGTCATCGCAGCAATTATTGTGGAGGTACCGAGTTCGTTCAGTGCTGCAGTTGGCGTGTCGTTCGCAATGGCGGCGCAGGAATTAGTTTTAACTGCTCCGGACGATCTCGAAGAAGCGGGTTATCGAATACACGCCTGTGTGGTTTTTCTAGTATCTCTCGTTTGTTATGTGCATAGAGCTGAGGTAAGTACAGTACATAATATCAAATTCAAATTTAATTCCACTTGTTGCATTGTGTCAGGCATTCTATCTCTACTTGTCGAAAGTGATCGAATTCCGTGCGAAAAATGCACCGCAACTTAATCCGCCAGTCACGACCTGTTACGACGAACATCCGGTGGTCCTGGCCCGGCGGGAGCTGTACCTGGAGGACTACGAGGCTCGCTACGGCCTGCTGCGCTGTTTCGCCTGCAGCGAATCCTGTCGCAGCGAGCATGAAGTCCAGCAAAAAATCAGCGCGATCAACAAGCAGATGAAGCTGCAGTTCCGGACGATATTTACGCGCAGGTCACGAAAGAGCAGCGATTTGGTGCAAAGCTGAGGTGCGTTTTGGCGATGGACTCGTCGCAGCTCGTACCGCTATAAATACGTGCGTTCTGCACTCGCATTCGGTTTCGACGGCGCGGCGGCACGGCGGCGCGATCGCAATGGTCGCGGGGATCGAGCGCGGCGCCGCTGCCACCGCCGCCGTCGTTCCTTCGTCGCGACGCCTGCCAGCCGACGGCGGCGTCGTATTCAGTCCGCGGTCGTCGGTGCGTGCGCGCGGTACGCGAGGGCATTGCCGGCGCGCAAACTTTCGCATTGTTTTGTACACGCTGAACCGTTTCGTACGCGGTCAACCGCGTGGAACCTGTTGAGCGCGTTTTACAATGAAGATCACGAAATTATCGCGCGCTTTTGCACGTACACTCAGCGCAACTTTTTCGAACTTTGTCCAAATTTAACACTTTTCATGCGCCTGGGGGTACGAAATATTTGGAATTTTTCAACTTGATCTTTATTGTATACTTGTCGAACGAGCGTCAGGCAACAAGCAAACTTCGTCGAGTCGCTGCCAGCTAAGCTCTTCACTCACCGGCTGATTTGCATTTGCAGCCGCGGCGGGAGAGCTTTCCCATATTTTTATCGAATCGGGGGCGCGCCAAGTTGCATTCAAGAAAGCCATCTAACGTAAGTACTCATATAATTTAACACCGTGGAGCACTTACGCTCCGCTCAAAATCAACTGTATTAAAATATATACCTATCGGCCTGAATTAGCACATTTTAATGTCATAAACGTAACGGAATTCAACGTTTTCAATTTTCTTCTGGCGGTGCGCTCATTCTTTACGTTCGCGTGCGACCCAAGCAAGCAGAAATTGATTTTTTAGGGTTGTCAATATTTGTCTTCTATTTTTGTTTGCAATTTATTACAGTCGTTATGACAGATTCGTTACAAAAGCGCGCATTATCCAACGCATATTCATCGCTACAGCAGACCCTGAATAGCAAACGTCGCGAGCGTTAAAGTGCGCGGCATGAAAACATCAAATATCAACCACGTTCCACTTTTTTGTTATAAATTGTGGATTGGCACAGTTGATAAATGTGCTTCCTATTGAATGTGAATAATCGATAATATTCTGTCCGCCTGGCGTTAAATTGAACAAATAATACGTCTGGGCATTAGAGTGTACAACGTATATGGAAATTAAAACGAACGAGTGATAATTCCGAACACAATAATTCATATTTTACAATACGTTTCGACGACAATTTTTCTATTGCGTTCCTATTTTAGCCGCGAAAAATATTTACACAATATCAAATCCATCGGAAAACATGTTTTATGGTAGCGCTTGCTGGTAATTGCCGCAGCGACATGGGCTTAAACAGTTTTGCGTGATTTACTCGTTTACCGAGATATATTAACAAATGCAATAAAGTAATGAACGCACGGACAGCGCGGCGCTCCCGTTGAAAATTGTTTCGTTTGAACTATTTCTGAATTATTTATAATTTAAACCTCCAGGAAATCTATCATAAAGTCTAATAAAGCTGCAACCGCTTTACGAGTACGGGCACATTTATTACATTTTAATGCTTAACGCGTTTTTCTTTGCGAAGAAGTAAAAAAAGTACTGCTTATAAAGAACGTAATCGAAACCGGCGCCTCCTCAGATATTAAATAATATATACACATCATAAAAGTGGGGAATTGGGGCACACACTGCGCGCGGGAAATTGAACTGATAACGAAAACAATACAATGTCACCCTCTGTATAATGGTCACCCCTATGCACAAGACACAAATTTTATCGATGCGTGCCGCACGCGCTCCCATAATGTATCTGCTTGTTGTATTCGGGTAACTACTATCTCTGCATTTCAAAATTAAAACGAAATAATCAGCGAGCGCAGTGAAGCGAGAGCTTCTGCATGCATCCATCACTGTAACTGGCAATGCGACATACGACATGTGAGAAAGTTCGTAATGAATCGAATGCTATTGACACATTGGGGTTGAATACATGGAACTTGTTAATTATACGCGCGAGAGAGCTCTCAGTGTAATTATGTTTTGGTGACGTTGGTCACAAATGAAGAACGCATTACGTGCATCCATCGCCGAGAAGAAAGAAGATCTATGACCGTCCACATAGTCATTTTACAAAGCGTAACATGCACGGAAAGTCAAGTCGCTCATGCATGCGTATTTTTGAAATAATATCACTTGCAACCATTTTTTATTCATGATTCGACGTGTATGATAGCTGTGCACGTTCCTGGTCGTTGATTGTAACTCGTGTGTTTGGTGATCGGTGTTTGCTGGTGCTCTTTTTGTCGTTGATCCTTGAGGACGCGGTCGGCACTCGCTGGGATGATGGAAACGTGCCGAATGCGAAAAATAAGTGAAAAGTTTAACGAAACTATTTACTGCACCGCACTGATTTTAATTGTTGCTGACAGGCGACGCAAAAGACTAGCACAGGAAATAATTTAATTTTATATACGTTCGATAATTACTAATGAAATATTCGATGCGGAATATTCGGCGCAAGTGCGAAATGCACATTCAATTTGGAGCTGGGCCATAAAATTGCTCAAATAGATACGTTTTATGCGAAAAACTAATTATAATATTTCTAAATTAAAAGCAGTTAGTTGTGTTGCAAGGCCTGCGCGCGCAGGATATTAAATTCGTTGGGAAAATGTGTGTCAGTAAGGTAAGACGAAGATGAAGTGAAATCGCACACAAAATGCGCAAAATTTCCAACCCAGAGCGTTTAATAGGGTTTGACGGCTATTCGACAGTCCGGCGCAATTACTGTCACGGAAAATAATCGCAAATAAATGAGCGGTGCGTGCTTTTCCGTGGGAAGAATCACTGAATAACACACCACTTGCCGCGTTTGTTTTGATATAGAAATTTTTATTACTTTTGACATAAAAATTTAATAAAAAAAAAACATCGGATTGTTTATGTTGTCGGAGTTGCATGATCTGATTGCATCTGAACGATGTGAACTCGTAGACAACAAACACTTTTTTACACTTTTTATTTTATTCTTTTTTTGTGTCAAATCTACAAAAATTAAAGATGGGACGACAAAAAAATCAGAATAAAGTCACATACCTTCACTTAATGGGTTTCAATTGCCTTCAGTTTTATTATGCATACGTGTAACAAGATAGTCACCAGACATGGAATGTTCTTATGTCATTAAACGATTGAATAAACGATGAGAGTGAATCGATTCAGCGAGACACGTCGCACTCGCTGAATAAAAACACCTGAATGTCAAGGTCTGCTGCACGGCCAGCATTTCGGCGATTTCCACCGGCAAAATAAGCAGAAATGTTAATTTTTCGAGGACAGACGTTACCATATGTCCTCCGCGATGAGTGATTGACATTGAATTGTGCGGCTGGCAGCTTGGAACGTTTTGGAATCGTCAAATCGTCGTACAATTGTGTTTTTTTAGCGTTTGCTGTGAGGTTTTAATTCAATTATAAGCAATAGCGCGTGCGGTTGATTGCGCTTGCTGTTCATATCGAACAATTTATATGGACCGTCGATAAGCTGATATCGCACTCGCGTACAAATAAAACACGCTGAAATACGGTGCGCGCATATTAATCGAGGGAAGCGGCGAACTTTTCACGCTGACTGCCTTAAAAGATTCACAACTTCGTGAAGAGAAGAATGGCAAAGATTCCGAACGACGAGGAATTCCCTGCGGAGTGCGATCTGTCGTTGCTCTTAACCCTGTGTCCCCACGTTCCTGTCGACACGAACGCCTGTGTGCACAAAGTTGATGACTTGTGACTTATTAAGTACATCGCCGCGCGCGCGAGATGAAGATTCCCAGATGCCGGCGAAGTGTGGAGGAGCCGGGCGGTGAAATAAAGTATTAAGCACGAAATCTTGGCCTAACAAGGAGGCGATAAATAAGTACGTAGCAAACAAGGCGGGGAAATTTGACAATTAAGAAATTCAAAAAACTTACGCAGAAAATTCACTTAGTAACGAAATTTTTGAAAGGTTTCTTGAATAATTGTATCAAACCTGGAATATTTTACATTTATCACTTCTGCACATTGTATCCAATCACAATAGTGTGGACAGATGATAAAAAAATCATTCAATACGAACGGGCTTATGAAAGCTAGCAACGTTTAATTACATTTTAGCGCGCTTTTTAAATCCGTTGTAATCCATTGATGCGCCGCGCCATGAGTGGCATTGCACTTAACTTGCACGTGCACTGATAAAGTTTCATCATGATCCGAGTGGGCGACTGGTTGATATCCACGCTTTGATGGGATGAGTCAAACACGCTGTGTGACTCTGCGGAAGCGAGAATGTGCGAAGAAACATCAAACCGGGCAATTTAACATGCTAATTAATAATTGAGCGGCGATAGGCAGACGGCCGCAGCGTGAGGCAGGAGGGGTGGACTGCCGAGCGCAGGTATGCCGTGGGGCAGACGTGCAGCATACCGTCAGGGGCGGCAGACGCAAAAGGAGAAGTTGCGCCAACTACGTTAATATTAGTTGCTTGTGGCTGGATAGTTTTCGCGCGCTCCCCCGAGGACAGTGTCGGATTTAGACGCATGTCAAGCGGAAAATTTGTTGTCCGCGCGCAATCGGAGCAGGTAACCCAATATTATTTACTGCGCTATGAAAAAAAAAAACACGCGCTACAACCACAACAGTGTATTAGGATTAGGAATAGAGGGGAATAGGGAATGGGCGTTAATAATTGATTGACAGTCTGATTGTTTTGTTAAGAATTCAGAAAGTAATCTTCCGTTCAAACGTAACAATCGCAATCAAAACGCAGCGAACTGACGCGTACACCTGACTTTTCAATTCTTCGTGCGGTCAACGCAGAAATCAATTTCATTTGACATTCAGCCATTTCAAAACTATCTTAATAACCGCTACCTACATGAAAGCAAAAAAAAAAAAAAATTTTCATTCTCGTTTTCCGCTGGAACATTAAAGGAATTGAGGCAAACTTTTACTCTGTGTTATCGATTAAAGCGCAAACATTTCTTCACATCACTTTTCGATCACATTACTATTCTGCGCGTTTGTAATGGAAGGCAAAATGAGGCAACGCTCGTAGGTCAAAAGACAAAGCAAAATGTAAATGTCAGATCGCTGTATTCCCAAATACTAGGGCATTATTTACCTGCAGATCGTATTTCGCTTGGGGTCTCCAGTGCATACTCCATCATTTCCACCGTTAAGTGCAACGGTTACAAACTCTTAACACATATCATGTTTGTAAATTGGATTCGAACTCTTGAGGGGAATTTGATTTTTGCACTCTTTTTCCGGCAAAACAATGATTTATCACGTATTGTGGAACTTTTTCAAATAATAACTAACAAACTAATAGAATTTAGTGAATTTTGCTGTTATGTGCATCAGAATTGATAAAGTAGATTAAAAGGGATGAAGAAGTATCCATTTTGCAGCGTGCAAAGGCTAAAATGTTGAAAAAAAAAAGCTAAACAGTTTTAAGTGCACTAAGAGCATACACGGTTTTTGTAAGACCCGCACCGGAGTTGTTTGTGCACGTTCACTTTTTCCGTTAAAACCAATCAATATATTAATTAATCAATTTTTTTAAGTGTGCATACTTTAATGAAATTACTGCCTGTATGAACTGTCT